TGCCACATTTGGCGAGTAATCGCCCATTTGGCGACATGCCATGGACGGATGGAGAACCTTCTGGAACGAATTCTTACCAGTTTATCCCAGTATGTTCTCGAACAAAAGCCGAATGCTATATAAATCCTGCTGATCCGCAGTCAGCTAGTGTGCCTTGTCGAGAAGGCGAGTCAGAGCGTGAGAAGTTAGTATCGAATTGGTGTCTCGTCTAGCGAGTCAATCGAGTTGACAGCCGGGCAGTGAGTGCCGAGTGGGTCGTCGATTGCACCGAAAGAGTGTCGTAGTGTATCGCGGTTCGTGCATTGTCAAGAGAGCCGTGACCTTCGAGAGGGAGAAGGCCATGACACTTAATAACATGGCGGAGCTTTCCGTCCGATCTTATCCTCGGAAAGTCGTCTGAATTTTTAAATTTTCGGCGGAAATATAATTATCATGTGGCTAGTTAATAAAATAGCTGAAAGAAAGGAGGCTTTATATACATACACACTTTTAAGCTTTTTACAGATATTTTAATTAACTTGTGCATAAATATAATTGAAAGAACCGAAAAACAAACGAACATTTACAAAAATTAAACGTGATTGAAATTGCCACTGTATGATAAATTGGAGGGCTCTAAAATAATAATAATATTTTACCTAGGGTCAAGTATTTTAATTATTCGCGTTTCAGAGCAAATATATGACCATCAACTTCTAATCTCCAGCGTATGTAAAGGAAATACTTTGACATATTAGTGTATGTGCAATATTTAAAAGCACATAAACTGCAGTGTTTGAAAGTTACCAAAAAAAGTACAGAACTACTATTCCATTTAATATAAAATCATTAATGTTTTTAAATAGCAAGCTGTTAAAAGTACAATAATAGTGCATGCTGATGATTTTTAACATTTCTTCAATCATATGTAAATATATTTATATACCTAACTTTAGACAATGGCAGATTCTCATGGTCATTTATTTTTTTTTCAAATCTATAATTCTTTTGGGTACTTTCCCTTGGATACTGCGCAGAAATGATCTGAATAATATACACAATAGTAAGAACTGCACATTTAAATCTGCTCTTCATTAAATAGCACACAACAAAACGTTTTTTCCCATTTATCTTGAGGGCCCACCAGCAGCCGAGCGGTAAAGTCGCTGAACACTGGTAGTTCGGTTCGAATCCCACAAATGGGCTGGCTGCATGGGTGTTTTCGTGGTTTTCCCCATGTGTAACGTGTATACAAGCCACTTTCTCTTAGAAAGTCCTCCACGAAGGCATCCCTCCCCTTAGGCAGATAGCCCTAGTGTGCTTTGCCATAATTAAATACACCACCCATTTATCTTGTTTTTTTTTTTTTTTTTTTTTTTTTTTTTTTGCTATCACAAGCATGTACAAAAATGGAATGTATTCAAATGTAATAATTAAAAAACATAACTTGCAACATTTGATTCATACCAAGAGATATACTACAAATTCAAGAGAAAAATAACAGAAATGTAAAATTTAATGTTTTTAAAAATATATGATTAAATGCAATAATATGGTACAATATTTTAGTAATGCTGATGTTTCTTAGCACATTTTCAATCATATACATATTTTTAGCTTCTAAATTTTAGGATAATGCAAATTATGATTATCATGAATATGCATTTTATTGATATTTTTGTACAAACACATACACAACTGTGTATGTTGTTGTTAGGTTATTTTCTTTCAAATTGAAGTTGGAAGCTTTTTGTTATAAGATTTAGGTATTTCTTGTATGAAAATTTTTATCACATTTTAGCTAATTTATATAGCATTTCATTTACATATGGGAGATTAAAGTGATGGTTATAATTTTGCTCTGAAAGCGAATGAATTAATACTGACTTAGGTAAAATATTATTATCTCTTAGAACCCCTACCCAATTTATCATGAAAGTGGTATTTGCAATCAGCGTTTTAAATTTTGTAAAATGTTCATTGTTTTTCGGTTCTTTCAATTATATTTATGCACAAGTTACTTAAAATATCTGCTAAAAAGCTTAAAAAGTGTGTATGTATATAAAGCCTCCTTTCTTTAGCTATTTTGATTAACTAAGCAACATGATAAAGTTATATTTCCGAAAAAATTTAAAAATTCAGACGACTTTCGACGAAACGCGGACGGAAACCGCCATGTTATTTGTCGTGGCCTTCCTCCGAGCCGGTTTGAGCTCCGGGAACGATGAACTGGTCGTCGAGTGCTTCGAGAGTTGTAGCGTGGAGAGTCGGGAGTACGTGGAGTCCGAGAACGACCAAGCGGGTGGGGTGTACTCCGGTGCTTTGCCGTGAAGCTGTCTCCACCATGAAGCTGTAATTGGAGGCTGTGTCGCTGATTGTGTCAGAGTGTTTATAGTAGTCCATCGACGACTGTAAAAACATGTTTTGGAGCTGTCCATACAATACTGGCCAATAAAGTGTGTTTCAATACTTCATCAAGTAGTATTGTCATTATTCACTCCAAATCCTCACAAACCCCGTACGAACATCAAGGAAGAAAATAACATAACAATTGGTGTCAGAAGAAAAACGTAACATTATTGTTTATATTATTACTATTAGTATTAAAATAATAATCAAATATTTATTCTAATAAAAGTCTCTTTAATAATCCTCCTTTCTAAGGTGTTTCTTTGGTTAGAAGTTTTAGGGAATAATTAATTATATATTCAGCATGCTATAACAACATACAGACATTGATTTAGAATTTAATGCTTCAAAAAATGAGTCAGAAAATTATTCCTATAAAAAAAAAGAAATATGCTTCAAAAATGTCATCCAAAAAATATTTAGTTATTCATATTCCTGCAATGAAACACATATATTATCATAATTCTTAAATACAAGGTTTATTGACTTTTACAAAGTGTACAACAATATCATATTGAGAAATTTATTGTTTGTGAAAGCTAATAAATAACAACATTGCTTAGTTTATGCAAAACAACAAAAAACAACAATAATGCTTACAGCTATTAATTATGTCCCACTTTTCCTTTCACCTTTCAGAAATACAGTAACATTTTAATCTTTTTCCAGATTTAGTATTTCAAAGGCAGGTAAATATAATTTTTAAATTCATCAATTAATAATAAATTTCTAACCTGCATGGTTTTTGAAGTTCTGCACAAATACCATTAAAAACACAGTCCTTGAAAAAGAAGTATACATTGTTTTGGAACTGATGTTGTTTGTACTGATATTTAAACAAATCTCTAAGCTATATTCGTAAACCATCTAAATTTTTGTTTTTGTAAATTACTTACTAAATAAATAATGTTTAATAACATCCCTTTTCAAATCAGCTATCCATGTACCATCTCCAAAGTGATTACCTTAAAATTAAGACATTCAGTCGCAAAGTTTTTATGTAGCTGAATATTTAAATTTGTTTAAAAAATATTTATATATTTTTGCAAGCATATATTGCTGATTAATAAGGCAAAAAGTTTTCAGAAAATAACATTCTTTTAAAAAAGAAGCAAATTTCAATATAAAAGAAGCCTGAAAATTTGGAATTTGCTTAATATTTTAAAAAATAATTATTTTCTTTAAAATTTTAATTTCTTTAAAAAAAAGCAATCGTAAAAGTGCCACTATGTTAAGTTGATTAATTTGGCCGAAATCATAAAACACATATTTTTTTTTACAGTAATTATTCAGATATTATGCTAAGCATCTTGAAATTATAAGAAGGAAAAAAATTAAAGAACTGTTTAAAAATAATTATTTTTTGCAAACAAATAAAGAATATAGAAAGTGTTGAAACTTCTAAAGATTTTAACTTATAACAAAAAAAATTCTGGAAAATAAATATAAAATGCAAGCAAACTATAAACACTGTTATTTATATGTTCTAGCAGCATCATAAAAGGAATGAAAGCTGCACCAGTTAATACAGATTTTATTAATAAATTATATTGCAGTTTTATTAATCCGCACTGAAATTCTGCTAATAATTAATGACTTCGAAATTTAAGTAGCTTGGTTATAAAATGAAAAATAAAAACGGGTAAATTTTAAAAGCAACTTAATTGAAAAAAAGTGATTTGTATGAAAGAAAACTTTTAAGTTTCATATTTCTGAAACCTTTTCCTGAATATGAAAATTAATGATGAACGAATTCTGTGAAATCTTTTCTGAAATCTGCCCAACAGTACATAAATCTCATAATAGTGACAAATGATATTTTAGAATCACTGAACCAATTTCCAACGTGCAGGACTTCCTTCTTTTTGCAATTTTTAACACTGCAACTCCATATTGTTTTTCCATTAACATAAAATTGCAAATTGCAGCCATTGTCACATGTTGATTTGTCAAGTGAAAGGCATCTTTCTTGAAAAAATTTATACTTTTACATAAACAGTGTGAATTCAGAAATTTCATCAAATATGAATAATATTAGATAACAGGGCAAGAGCAAAAATGCAACATGCTGCTAATATATCATTATGTTGAGATATAAGAACATGCAGCCAATGCTAATATAAGATCACAGGATGGGGTATAAGAACACACAGCCAGATTTTGGTGACATAGCTCAGTTGATTGGTGATTTAATCCAGCGGGCTGCTGTAACAAAGAACTACCCAATAAAATGATGTATAGAATAATACATATATTTGTCTATATTTCTTATATGCGCCCAAATGTCTTCTGCGCTGGTTTTTGGCGCGATTGCGTGTTGTATAGCAACACTTTTGACATTAAAAACTCTTTTGCTGGAGTGATTTAATTGCTCGTTGGTTCATGTCGTGCTTTGAAATGGCCTATGTTGTAATGAAAAACGTGGTTGCAAGAGGGTCTGGGAGATTATTTTTAGTGGCTGTTCATGATAGAAGTAAGGAACCTGATGCAGGTATAAAGAGGGATTGAGCTTGTAAACTATTTTTTCGGATGGCTGGAAATCTTACAAGGATTTGGGAAAAGAAGGTTTTGAACATTTCCATATATTTTTATATATGATAATAGGCACTCTGTGTCTGAAAGGAAGCTTTATTAAACATTAACTGCCATATATCTCTACAACACAGTTATTTCTATACACCTTCATGAATGCAAATTTTTATACAAAGGACTTGATAAACATGTTATTGACATATGATTTAATACATTTGTGGATACACTGATATCTCTTGAAAAGTGACTATGTAATATGCTTAGTATATATATGCACTTTGAAGCTGTACTTATTATCTTACAGCTAGGCATGGTGATGTTTTCACTCAGATACGTTAAAAAAGTTAATAGATATACTTGCAAAGAAGTTCTAATACCACATCTTTCTTGATATTTCATAACATTGGCAAAATGCATCAAAAGCCTCTTAAGCACCTTCTATAAACTGACTGTAGTGTCATTTTTGATGGCCTTAATTTCCTGAAAACATTGACATCTAGTGCAATCTTCATGAGAAAGAATAGCAGAGGATAAGAAAGCGTAAAAAATGCAATAATTGATGCATGAGAGACATCTATCTAAAAAGTTAACCTAACATCTTTGCTTAAAATATAATCCTAATAAAAAAAATCTGTTGAAAAATACTTTTTTATTTGCACAGGACACAAAATTATTTCCTTGGTGCAGATTTTTACATTTCTTACATAAAGAACATATATATGAAATATTTATTTCTTCTTTTATTAAAATTTTAAAGTTTCTAATATTTATGTAAAGGTGTACTTTCTAAGCACATATAGAGATAGATGTATATTTAGTCCACCACAGCAGTAGAACTCATGTGGTTTGCAATCTATGAGTGGGTTCAGCAAATAATTTTTGGAGAGATTATATCCTGAAATACACCTTTTCTTATTGTGTACTTATATATATTTAACAGCAATTACAAATTAATTTAGAATAATAAATTAACTGTTGACAGTTACATATGCTTCATTTCTGCAATACCACATCATTTTCTCTTAGCAATCTCCTTTTTTCCAAAGTCCATGGTATGCATGTTGATTGCTAACCAGTGCTCTACACAATAATATAATATTTATACCACACTAAACTTTCCCAGGTATATTTCTTTAAAATACACTGGTATGCAAATGACCATATCCAATAATTAGGATCTCATCTGCAGTTTGGAGGAGGGAATTAAAGGTACTTTCTGATTATTTGCACCCCCACAGAAAATTTATAAACTCATTGCAACTGAAGAAGCATTTGAAAAATCCTTGGTGACATCACAGAAAAAAAATTGTTTAGGTAGCTTGATATCTATACTCCACAACATATTCCGTGAAACACATTTTATTTTTTATTCCCATATAAAACATTTTTCAGGTGTTGTCATTGTTGTTCTCTTCATGGGAAACGTTTTCATTTAAAAAGAGATCAGGAAATGGCATTAACTCCCCATCGTATATAACCGCAGCACCAAAATCTGAAATAGGAAGGAAAAAAAACAGGCATATATATGTGTTAAGGCATATATATGTGTTTTATAGGCATATATATGTGTTTATATGTGTTAAGTCAGACAAATTACACCCCATGAATGCAGAAAGTCAAGTCAAACAAAAAGTATAGTATGTGGTCCACTGCAATGCTAAAACACAGAAATTTCTTTAGCAGGGACCATAACCTGCCACCATACTGGGCAAAATGTCTATAGAAAAGGTAAGTTATCTGTAGGAATAACTACACACATACCTGGGTTGCCACATAAACATTTTTCAGTAACATAGCATATTTATTGCCTTACAAATACTTTTTTTTCGACATTTCTGGACGAGTGCAGATAATCAGAAATTACAGAACTAAATTGCCTCATCTGCAGTTTGGAGTATGTAAATTACTTTATATAACATTCATGTAGTTTTTCCTCTATGTTGGTATATGTATTTTGCTAAGTAGCCTTTTAGTGTAAAAGATTTAGTACATATATAAAATTTATATGAATTTCAGTAGTATGCAAAAGGAAATGCTGATTTAAGTTGCTTTAATGTGCAAATGACTTGCTACATTTATCACATTCAACACGATATATCTTTAATGTAAGTAATCACATGTGTCATTAAGGTATTTTTTTTTAGATATATAATTTGTTTCATATATTGCACTTAGGAGTTTTCTCACCAGTATGAGTATATATATGATTTCTTAGAGTAGATCTCCGTGCAAATGCCCTGCCACACATATTACATATGTATGATTTTTCAGATTTTTCACCTGTGTGGGTACGCATGTGGATGTTTAGTCTACTTTTAGTTCCAAAGAGTTTGCAACATACCTCACATTTATATGATTTCTCACCAGTATGGGTAAGCAAATGTACATTTAAATTAGCTTTGCTTATAAATGAGATATTACACACATCACACGTATGTGGCTTTTCACCGGTATGTGTACGCAGGTGATTTTTTAAAGCATCACGGCGTTTGAATGATTTACTACAAAAGCTACACTTTAATGGTTTGTCATCAGTATGTATAAGGAAGTGTTTGTTTAAATCACTTTTACGTGCAAATGACTTGCAACATGTATTACAACTGTATGGCTTCTCACTACTGTGGATACGCATGTGCTCAATTAAAGTACTTTTTCGAATAAAAGACAAATTGCATAAATCACATTTATGAGGCCTTATATCAGTATGGACACTTTTTTTATGCACATTTACACTCGATTTAAATGAAAATGACGCATTACATACATCACACTTATATGGTGGTCCACCAGCATGGATAAACTTATGTTTATTTAAGACACCTTTGTGTGCAAATGATTCATTACATACATCACAATTATATGGTTTTTCACCAGCACATATGTGTTTTCGTAATTTAGCTTTGTCAATGAAAGACTGCTCACACACATCACATTTATGTGGCTTTTCACCAGTATGTGTAAACATATGTGCATTTAAGTGACCTCTGCGCGCAAATGATTTGTGACATACATCACAGCGATGTGGTTTCTCACCACTGTGAACACGCATATGGCCAGATAAGACACTTCGGAATGCAAATGCCATATTACATGTGCCACATTTATAGGGTTTCATACCAGTATGAATTACCATATGTTTCTTTAAATAAACTTTTTGAGCAAATACCTTATCACACTCATGACATTTGTGAGGCATCTCCCCACTATGGGTAAACATATGTGTGTTTAATTGACCTTTGAGTGCAAATGATTTGTGACATACATCACAGCAATGTGGTTTCTCACCAGTGTGAAGATGCATATGGCGAGATAAGACACATTGCAATGCAAATGCCATATTACATGTGCCACATTTGTAAGGTTTCATACCAGTATGAATTACCATATGTTTCTTTAAATAATTTTTTTGAGAAAAAAACTTATTACACTCATGACATTTGTGAGGCATTTCACCACTATGAGTATACATATGCGTGTTTAATTGACCTTTGCGTGCAAATGATTTGTGACATACATCACAGCGATGTGGTTTCTCACCAGTGTGAACAAGCATATGACGAGATAAGCCACTTTTCAATGTAAATGCCATATTACATGTGCCACATTGATAGGGTTTCACACCAGTATGAATTACCATATGCTTCTTTAAATATTTTTTTTGAGCAAATAACTTATTACACTCACGACATTTATGAGTCATTTCACCAGTATTGGTAGACATTGTTTCTTTAAGTTACCACTACACGTAAATAAACTATATCATGTACCAAAAACTGTATGGTCTTTTCGCAATGTGACTATGCTTATGGCTACATAAGCTACTTAGGGATAGAAATATGCAAATACCTTATTACATGTATCATACATGAAGTCTTATATCAGTGTAACTTTTCATATGCACTTTTAAAGTACACTTACGGAAAAATAATTTATGGCATACATCATAGTCAAGTATCCACAGTTTGGTGCACACCTGTTTACATAATTCACTTCAATATACTATATCATGGGAAATGCAAAATTTACAATGGGCAGATGCATACATAATTCAGTGAAATGTGATAAACACAAGATTTTCATATAAAAAAATGCAGGTCTGTATACTATAATTTTAGCTCCAATATTTTAGAATATGTTTTATGATGACATTCTCTTATGAAAAGGGTACTGAGAGCATACAGTATATGGTATCCATAAATGGCTATCAATTGCTATCTATTTCATGTGCATCTTGCTTCAAACTTACATACAAGAAAAGTTGAAGGTAATATATAATTAACAGATTTCCTAATTATATGCCTTTTACTTTCTCTTACACACACATTACACTCTTACTCCACTTTACAGTTTAAATGGTTATCTTCCAATGACTTTACAAGATGTAAAAAGTGAATCAGCACTATATTTTTAAATGAATTATTCTATCCTGAAAATGAACAACACACTTAAATAATCAGTTAGTACTCCATAGATTTCCGTAATTTTATCTTAAGTTTATGGAGTACTTTCTCAGCAAGTTAGCCATGCTGCAGTAATTCTCATACATCATACATTGAAGTAGCGATATCTGCATTTTTTACGTGCTTCAAAAAAACTAACAACTCGCATAAATATCTGAAAAGTTTTATTCATGTGAGATTTCACATCAGTACATTTATCTTTACACTGATTTTTTCTTCAGCCTTATGCACCTAAAAATTAAACAGCTTATTTCATCAAATTATATGCCTACAATTTTTTTGCTAATAAAATAAATCGTTATGTTATGAGAATGATGAAAAGGAAAGCTAAAAATGCATAGAAGTCGATTCCAAATTGAATACGATAAAAAGTATGTTTTTATACGCAAAATCGCACCTAGATTCAACAGGATAGCATGTCCGACCGTTTCCGACCAGGGGGGGGGCCCACGAGCGATGCGTAGTGCAGGGAGAAAATTTTGCCACCTGCGCATGACGTCATGTGGGTGACAGTCGTTAGTTCTCGGCGTTTGTTTACATTCGTTGCATTTGATCTGTGATACATTTGATTTGTGTTGTTAATTTGCTTTTATAAGTAGTCGGAAATGGCAAGTTGTGCTATAGCGTTGTGTCAGAATTATAGAAGGAAAACTAAAAGTCAAGGCATCACATACCATCGTTTTCCAAGTGATCCAGAACTTCGTAAGTTATGGACTAATCGCTGCAAAAGAGCAGATAATTTCAACATCGAAAATGCCAGAGTATGTGCTCTTCATTTTACACCTGATGACTACGTACGAGATCTAAAGGCAGAATTGCTTGGTTCAACTCCTAAAAGGGTGCTGAAAGCCAATGCTGTTCCCACTTTACATCTTCCGTCATCATCATGTGAAAATAACTCATCAATAAAGTATATATGTTGTGCTTCAAAAACTGAACCTAATCTGGAGAGAACGTTTTCTAACAGGAATGAGTCATCTAAATTTATGCTAAAAAGGGATAGAGCAAGCAGGTGTCAGGCTCGGGGAACAAGGAAACGAGCATTGGAAAATTTAGCTTCCCTTTCCCCCAAAAAGAAAAAAACTACAAGCTGATAAGATAGACTGTGCAACTCAGTTTACATCCAGTGACACATCTCATTTAGTTGAGCGTGTGCAAATCTTAGAAAAGGAAAATAAGAGATTAAATGTGTTGTGCAGTCAATTGAAAATGCAAAAGAAAATTATTTTTACTGAACTTACTGCTTCTCGTAGAAAATTGCGTAGCTATCAGAAAATGAGCAGGAAAGTAACAAGCAAACAAGTACATAGTGCAGTTAAAAAAAATTTTAGGGACAATTTTTACGGACAATCAAATTCGCTTTCTCATGTCAAATAAAAAATATGTTAAGTGGAATGCAGATGACATTTGCAAATCTGCAACACTTAGGGCAGTATCCAAAAGATGCTATAACTATCTCAGACAAAAAATGGGATTTCCATTTCCTAGCATTTCGACTTTGAAGAGATGGGTATCTTGTTCATTTCGCTGTTCTCCTGGTTTGCTACACGATGTAATTCATGTTATGCGTGCTGGGGCATTACAGATGACAGACAAAGAATGTATGTGTGTTCTTTCATTCGATGAAATGAACGTGGATAGTAGAATCTGTTATGACCAAGCAGAAGATAAGATTGTTGGCCCACATAGAAATGTTCAAGTAGTAATGGTGCGAGGACTTCTTGCAAGCTGGAAGCAGCCAATATATTTCGACTTTGATACGCAAATGACGGCAGAAATATTGAAAGATATAATAATAACATTAGCAGAAATTGGATATTATGTAGTTGCAGCTGTAGCTGACTTGGGTGGTAGAAATCGTGCTGTGTGGACAAAACTTCAGATTACTCATCTGAACAGCAGCTTTTCACATCCCCAGGACTCTAGTAAACGTGTGTGGGTGTTTGCTGATGTGCCACACCTTTTGAAACTTCTTCGTAATCACTTTTTGGATGACGGATTAATGCTTCCGGGAAATAAATTAATTACAAAAGAACCTATCGAAAGATTGATATCGATGGATTGCAAAGAAGTGAAAATTTGCCCAAAGTTGTCCGTAAGTCACATTTCTGTTAAAGGTAATGAACGCCAGCGTGTGCATTTAGCTGCGCAGTTATTTTCAAACCATACTGCACAAGGTATCCGCTATCTTATACCAGAAGAAGAGGAAACTGCAATTTTTTTTGAATTAGTGAATAATTCATTTGATATTCTTAACTCCAGGAAACCTGTCTCTGATACAGTGTTATCTTGTGCGTATGGGATACATGAAGAAATCCAGGAGAGAACCTTAAAGAAATTTTATGCTTTTTGTGAAGACATGAGAGTGGGCAAGGCAAAGCACCTATTACCATTTCAGAAAGGATTTATGATGTCGATTACATCACTGCTGGGGTTATTTTCTGATTTGAAACAATTAGGAGTTAAATACCTTTTAACTTCCAGACTAAATCAAGATTGCCTGGAAAATTTTTTTTCCCGAATCCGCGGTCTTGGCCATTTCTATGATCATCCACTGCCCGTAGACGTGAAGTATCGAATGCGTCTTTTATTGTTAACTAATAATTCCTACCAGATTTCACTTTCTAACACATCTTCTGTTGCTCCTGATGAGGAGGAAGATGCATACATTACTTCCAACTTTTTTGGTAATATTTTACCTGACATGACTGAAGCTCTGAAGATGTTAGACGGTGAAACTGAGATGAGGGATATTGTTTTTGATAATTCTAGATTGACCCTTGCAAGTGAACCTGCAGCTGACTGCTCTGTAGAGGGTTTTCGGTACCTTGCAGGCTACATAGCCTACCGTGGAAGAAAATATGACCATTCTTTGGGAACACCTACAGAACAATTGCTCCATCTGCCTTCAGATGAACACGTTGGTTGGATAGAAACGCTTTCTCGTGGTGGTTTACTTGTTCCATCTGAGGAATGGTTAAAAAAAATAAGTCAATTTGAAGTAGTGTTTGTAAGTGAACATGGGAAAGATGGTCTTTCAAGAAATAATAACATTATGCAAACTATGTGTAAAAAAATTGCACAAAAGTTTCCTGATGTGCATAATGAAATCATTAAAAATATATGTTAAGACACGAACATTTATACGCTTGAGGTATTTGAATACAGAAATGAAAAAGAAGAAAAGAAATAAGGCTGATATGAAAAAGGCACAGAAGTGGATTGCATCATCTTATAAACTCCTCCTCATATTACATCCTACTCATATATGAAGATACTTTTCAATAGCAGCCAGGACAGCGATTGATGATGATGAAGAAGTTCAAAATGTTAATGAAAATGAGTGTAAAAAATCATTGCCAGTTAAGTCAAATGCATATGATTCTTTACTACACAGTGTCGAGTTTGAAGATAGTGTACCAGAAAACATTTCCCATGCATTTACAAAGATGTGAGGCTTCTTATGACATGATCCCAACAATCAAAACAAGCTTTCGTGTTTTAGGGAAAGTATTCTGCCACTGCAAATATCCTCTTCGCAAACATTTCACATTGGCAAATTTAATAATATTTTGTCAAACAATTTTTGGCATTTTAAAGAAAGAAACTTGCTTTAGAAGACTGTGTTGTAAAATTTATAAGTGAATACCATTAACATTAAGTACAAGATGTCTGAAATGGAACTGTAATGCTACCAGATTAGAACCATCATTTACTTCCAGATATGTTACAAAAAGGGAGCTACAGAATGTCAACAAAACATGCATACAACTTTAGGTACTAATGTTGCATCATATGAGACTGTGAATGTTTGATATTGAAAGTTCAAAAACAAGGGCTATGGCTCAAACAAGGACTCAAAACAAGGATTACTAATATTTTCTCAAACAATTTTTGGCAAAGAAAGAGATTTGCTTTAGAACAGTGTGTTGTGAATTGTATTAAAATATCATTGTGTACAAGGTATCAGAAAGAGAACTATCACACTACCGGATTAGAACCACCACTTACTTCCAGATATGTAGCAAAAAGTAAGCTACAGAATGTCAACAAATCATATGTACAGCTTTAGGTACTAATGTTATATCATATGACACTGTGAAGGTTTGGTACCGAAAATTCAAAAATAAGGACTATTACACTCAAGAAGCATAGTACTAGAAAATAGTGTACCAAAAAACATTTTCTATGCATTACAAAGATGTGAGACTTCTTACGACATGAAATGTCTTTCCCAACAATCAAAACAAGCTTTCGTGTTTTAATGAAAGTATCCTACCACTGCAAAAATCTTCTTCGCAAACATGTCACATTGACATATTTAATCATATTTTGTCAAACAATTTTGGTGTTTGAAAGAAACTTGCTTTAAAACACTGTGTTGTGAAATGTGTAAAAGAAATATCATTTATCATTGAGTACAAGGTGTCTGAAATGAAACTATTTCTACTATAGTTGTGTTACAAAAAGTCAGCTACAGTATGTCACCAAATCATGTGTACAACTTTAGGTACTACTGTTATGTCATATGAAACTGTGAGAGTTTTGTATTGTGAAATGTATAAAACAAATATGTTATCGAATACAAGGTGTCTGAAATGAAACTATTTCTACTACAGATTAGAATCATCTACTTAACTACTCCAAAATAGAATCATTTACTTAACTACTACATCTATTTTAACTACTACAGAATAGAATCATCATTTACTTCCATTTGTGTTGCAAAAAGTCAGTTACAGAATGTCACCAAATCGCGTGTAAAACTTTAGGTATTAATGTAATGTCATATGAAACTGTGAAGGTTTAGTACCGAAAATGCAAAAACAAGGATTATGACATTCAAGGAGCAGAGAACCAGAAAATATTTTTCATGCATTAAAAAGATGTGTGTTTTCTTATGACATGAAATGTCTTTCCCAACAATTAAAGTAAGCTTTCGAGTTTTAATGAAAGTATCCTGCCACTTCAAATATCCTCTTCGCGAAATTTCACATTGGCATATTTAATCATATTCCGTATATAGGATTAAAGAAAGATTTGAAATTCGAATCATATTTTGTATATATGATTAAAGATTATGCATTTTAAAGAAAGAAACGTGCTTTAGAACACTGTATTGCAAAATGTATTTGAAAAAGAGAGACTTGCTTTAGAACGGTGTGCTCTTAAATTTATAAAAAAAATACCATTAAGTACAAGGTGTGTGAAATGGAACTATCACACTACCAGATTAGAACTATAATTTTCTTCCAGTTCTTTTGCAAAAAGTCAGCTACAAAATTTCGCCAAATCATGTGTACAACTTTATGTGCTAATGTTATATCAAATGACACTGAA